CAAGTTTAAGGGAATATTTGAAAATTAAACTTGTTTTGGGTCTAATTAATATTTAGTTTTAGTTGTTGTTGGGAAGGCTCACGTGATAGAAAAATGTAGAAGGAATAAATTCTAGAGCTTCTCTAGAAGATATGGTCTCTAGAACTCTCCTATCATTAATTGTATAGAATTGTCTAGAATGCATTAATTATAGAAGAGTCTAGACACTTTTGTACTAGTATAAATAGAGCTCCCCTACCACCACTTTGTATCAAGCAAATCAAGAAAATTGAGTTGTTCTAATAAAATGAGTTCTCCCCATTTGTTCAAATATCTCTTCTATAATATTTCTAATTTAGCCTCCCAATTTTCCAAATCTTCCTTAACTTATTTCCAACAGTACTGTGTGTATTAACTATGTCTGTGTTATTTATTTATTTTTTATTTAATTTTGTTATTATTAAATTGCTTTGTTTTGTTTCTTTTGAATTGCATGACTTGAATTTATTGGCATATCTAGATATGAAGCCACGTATCCTAGGTAATATATAAACTCAAGCCACGTATCCTTTCTACTCTCTCCGTTCCCAAAAATACTTCTCACTTTCCTTTTTGGGCTGTTCCCAAAAATACTTCCCACTTTCCCATTTTGGACAATTTGTGTGGCTCACATTCATTTTACCTTTTTCTTACACAACTACAACCATACATTTCCACTTTATTCCACTTTCTTAATAAGCGTGCCAAGTCAAACCGGGAAGAATTTTTAGGAACGGAGGGAGTAATATATACTACTCCCTCCGTCCCGAATTAAATGTCCTGCTTTCCTTTTCGGTCCGTCCCAAAATAATTGTCTTGTTTCCTCTTTTGGCAATAATGGGTGGCTCATATCAATTCATCTTTTTCTACTCAAATCTCAACCACAACTTTTACCTTTTCAACCGCTTTCTTAAAACTTGTGCAAAAGCAAACAATACAATTAATTCAGGACGAGGGGTACTAAGTATGTATTAATATTTAAGTCACCTACAGGGATAAGAAGACATAAATTTTATGTGTTTATTTTTATAATTTTAAGAAGTATAAAAAAATGAGAATGTTACAGAGATGGCCATACATATAATCTCAGATCCTGAGACTTTAGATAATGTGTCTCCCACAATGTTCTCTCTGCCAGCTTTGTATTGTATTTCATAGTCAAAGCCTATAAGTTTTGAGGACCAAAATTGTTGAAAAGGGGTGGAAATTTTTTGTTGTAGCAACCATTTGAGACTCTTCTGATTTGTTTTAACAATGAAATGCGCCCCCATCAGACATTGTTCCCATTTTTGAACAGCAAAAACCATAGCTAGGAGCTCTTTCTCATAAACAGACAGATTCTGCAATTTTGGTCCCAAACATCTGTTGATGAAGGCCAAAGGATGGCCTTCTTGCATTAGTACAGCTCCAATGCCTAGTGTGGATGCATCTGTCTCCACCACATAGGTCTTTGTGAAGCCTGGTAAAGCTAGATCTGGAGCAGTGATTAAAGCTTGTTTGAGCTTTCCAAAGGGGAGAGGGAGAATCCACAATGTCTTGGCCAGGGGTGGGTCGAGTACAGACAACACTAGGCCCAGCCAGGGCCACGACCATGTTAAATTCGGCGTCGGGGATGGCGACAATCGGAATCGCGCGAGCGAAATTCGCGGAGAGATAAAAATGAGTTTCCCTTCCCTCTCAATCCACCGGAATCTTGGGCCGGCTAGAGTTTGCCCCATCATCGGGAAAGACGTTAGGGAGGAGACAGAACTAGAAGAAGACATTTTGTGAACTGATCTGAAAAAGAGAGTGAAGCGAAGAGGGAAGCTTTCTTGCCTAGGGTTTGGAAAATACCAGAGTACCAGAAAGTTCAGTTAGAAAGGAAGAAGTACCTTTATAGTGGGAACCCCAATGTTGCAAACCGCTCCAGAACCGCTACCAAGGCACTCGAGTGCTGGATACGGGACGGTGGAGTGGGAAGTTGTGAAGAAAAGCACGTGTTACTCGCATTAAATAAGGAACAGTGCCGCAAAAGGAAATTCGAAATTTGAAAATTAACCACCCGCTTCGTTTACTCTTCTAAAATCCAGTCTCGCTGATTTTAGAGAGTAGGGGGCTCGTGATGGTGCCATGGACTCCAACCATGGCCCAAATACGGAATTACAGATCAAACCCATAATGGGATCAAGCCCTCAACGGGATTAGCCCTTAACGGGATTAGCCCTTAACGAGATTAGCCCTTAACGGGATCAGCACATGAACGAGATTAATAATCAGACGCTAGGCCTAACTAGGAATCAGACCCGCAACAGGAACCCACAACCAGGCCAGGCTGGACAGCAGACCTCGAGCATGGGCGGAGTTCTAGTGAGGTCAGGATATTCCAAGGGCTTATGTGGCAGGCTATCATCTGTGCACAGCTATCTGGCAGCAGGCATGAACCAACGGCAGGAACGTGGACTTAAAGAAGCAATCATTGCCCAACGTCTAAGACCTTACATGAGTCTAATTTGATTAAACATGTAATTAATAGCATTTATTGTATGAGATTCCTCCTAGAATACTAGTTCCTATAGTCTATAAATACTTCCTGTAGACTTCCTATCAAGGGACCGAACTCCGGAATAAAGAATATTGTTGATGGATAGTCTACCCGGGGGTATGTATCCGAAGGGTTTCTGCGGGAAGTAACTAGAGAGAAGTCAGAGCAAAAGTAAGAGAGAGAGTATTGCTGAGAACGTAATGAGCGATTTTTTCTTGGATTACAAATGGGGAAAAGGGACGCTATTTATAGTAGTAATAAATGCCAGATAGGGACACGTGTCGTCATTCTGGTGGCCGAGGGGTCACATCAACTGGTTGGCACTGGCAGTCGCATGTGACCGCATTTAATGCGGCTGTTGAATGTGACGTCGTACTTGGTACGGTGATTCAGGCGCATGTGGAGAGGATATTCTGTCGAGAAAGGTGCCCTTGGCTGCAGATGATTAGCCGAGGGCTCTAAGTACCGGGGACCCCCTTAGTGGCGAGGGCTCTAAGTACCGAGGGCTACTGATTTTCGCCGTTTTCTCCCAGTAACTTTGTTTGCTTGAGTTGGCCATCTTGTGAGAATTTGGAGCCTCCGGCCAGGGGGGCGAAGGCACCTCCAGTGTGCTACGTGGGTTGCTCAGTACTTGGGGCGCTGTGATTTGGGCCTGTTGTGCTTCCTGGGCCTATTGGGCCTCCATTAGAATAGTAGGAGTCTATGGGTCAGGGGTTCCTGGGCCATACACTCCATCAACTGTCTTACGCTGCCATATTTTCATCTGCTCTCGTAGATATAGCTCTCGTAGTTGGATTAAACTCCATCAGGTACAAACTTTCTTTTTTGAATATAAAGAATCAACTTTTATAATAAAATCAAGAAAAGATACAAGATAACATTCAGACACTTATGACAGATCCGATTGTGAGCCCTGGGAATAGACATAGAATCAGGCAATCAGCTATCTCATGCAAAGCAACCTGATTCGCTAGACACGAAACGCGCAACTTAAAGCCTAAAACAATGAGACTGAAATATTGTCTATCAAACATATGCCAGAAGTCCAAATTTCCGAACCAAATCTACTGAAACTAAAAATAAAAACAAGAGAGAATTCCTTAAATATGAGTAAAAAAGTTTTGAAATTCCAAAATAGGTGTAACATGTTTTTTATTCCTTGAATATGAGTAAATTTCTGCCAAGTTTGGCATTACTAGGCTTTAAAACATGGCATTTTTTTCAAATTTGGCAGATTACTCCTATTCAGTAAATTAAAAATATGATACTCCTATTTTGAAATTTCAAAACGTTTTTGCTCCTATTTAAAGCAATTTCTATAAAAACAATTACTACTAATGGAAAAATAAAATTCAAATAAAGTATTTCCACAAAACTCTTCATGGCACGGAGGTGGTTCTGGAGGAGGACGGACTCTACCAATGTCTACACACTCTGGAAGAAAGCGGATACAACCCCACGACCAGACGAAGCTTGCTGAGACACCAACAGAACTCCCCACATCGAGAGATGCAAACCACCCGTGGAAACAACCGTCATATAACAAAATCAACACAACTAGAAGAGAATTGCAATCCAATTGGATCATACTTCTACCAAGAATCTCTCAACGTCAAAGTAACCATAAGATAGTTTGGATAACCATCAAATAGTTTAGATAACCATCAGATTGAGAAGATGAAAATTAATTGGACAAAGCTAATGAAGAGATTAATCTTGTACTGATCCTACTTTGATGGATGCAGCACTTGGGTTGCCGCACACCCTAAATCCTTTGATGTTAATGATTTGTAACTGACTTTCTAAAAAACTGTTATGGTATGAAAAAACTCTTAAAACTATTGTGACAAACATACGGTTATACACTTTTAGAGACTTTTAAATATAACACTTTTAGGTTATACACGTATTCATGCACTAAGAGTCTATTTGGTAAACCCAAATCGACTATATTAATCGATTCTGCTAAAATTTATGAAGTTGGTGGATTAGCTGATTTTACTGATTTATGAGGGGGGATTTAAAATATATTTTATTAATTAAACAACGAAAAAAATATGAAAAATAGTTAAAATGATCATCTACAATAACTTCAGTCAATACTGACAGAAAAGTAACTACAATCTTAATTTCTCTATTATTACATAATTCAGTGCACGAAATCAAAAATTACGTGTTTGATTAAAAAGTTGCTTGATAAGCCGAAAAAACGGGATCACTAAAAGGACTCTAAGATTTTGCAAGATTTAGGAGAAGACATCATAATTGCCTAAATAATATTTTAAATTATAGGCATTTTAGTAACCTTTTTTGAACTTATAAAGCGTATTAGTCAACATTTTTACCAAACATATAATATTTTATTTCAAACGTTAAATTGTGTAATAATCAAAATAAGTAAAATTGAAGTTACTTTTTAACAAAATTGACTTAAGTTATTGTAGATGACAATTTTAACTATTTTTAGTAGAATCTTTTCTTTAGTTTATTAACAAAATATATTTTAAATTTTATTTCTCTATAGTTCAGCTGATTCAGTAGCTTCAATCATAACTTCACAAGTTTCGGCTGATAGCCTGTTACAACCAATTTCAATATTACCAAACGAACTCTAAATAAATACAAATTTTTGTTTGACACGTTAACAAAATTGAAGCCATAATCCATGATGGAATAACTCAGGCTTCTTGCTCCAAAGATGAGGTCAGCAGGCACATTACAATGCATCAAACTTTGTGATACTTGAATTTCTGCCCTACGTTAAATCTGCTTAATTTGCTGCCATTTCCTTCCAGCACCAGTAATCTCACCGCCTGAACCCCTTCACTCAGTGCAGTGTTCACCTGTTCTCGTTCCATTTCACTAAATTTCTGGAGTAAAAACGCCTTCATATCCATTTTTCCTGGAGGGTTCCCAATCCCAATGCAAAGTCGTGGGAATTGATGGCAACCATCCAGATGCTCCATTACACTTTTCACCCCGTTGTGAAGGCCATGACCACGTTTAGGCTTAAGCCTCAGTACCCCATTTGGTAAACTCAACTCATCATGAACCAGTATGATATGACGCAATGGCACTTGATAAAATGTAGCTAGTGGTCCAACCGATTCTCCACTAAAATTCATGTAAGTCTGAGGTTTGGCTAATATGACGGGTACCTCTCCAATTGAACCAATTCCTATTAATGCCTTCGATTGCAGTGTGTTCAACAAAATGCCCTCTTCTTGAGAAATCTGATCAATCATTTCGAAACCAACATTGTGACGTGTTCCATGGTATTTGCTACCAGGGTTACCCAACCCCACAATCAACCATGGTGTGTACTCAACCTTGATTTGGTTTGGCTCTAGCGGTGAAGCCAGTGATGCTCGCACCCTCACTTGAGCTAAATTCCTTGGATGAAAAATGAGATGTCTGGGGTAGGTTATTTTGCAACATGTAGGAGGGTATATAGCACACAACATTGACCTATGTTGAATTTCTGACTTCTGATGCTTGCCGTGAAGATGAGACAGCAGATGGGCAGAAGAGCAGAAGAGGTAATTAGTTTAACACAGCATGAAATACAACATGTAAACAAACACCACAGAGTTACTTTAGCAAGTAAGAAATTTTAGTGGCAGTTTCATAGCAATGCCCTTCTAGTTTTTTTTATTTCTAGCTTTTTTTATGCTCTTTTTTGTTTATCTTTTATTGTTCTTATATTCTTGTGTTATTGTTATCTTATATTTATTTATCTTTATTTTATTCGTTTTATCTTACTTTTTTTTCTTCCCTTTCTTGTCCATTTTCTCTGTTTGGCATCGATATGATTGATCGGTTTATGTTAGCCGACCCCAAATTCTTTTGAGATTAAGGCTTGGATGTTGTTGTTGTTTCATAGTAATGCCTGCAGTAGTGAATACTGCTTGCAAAAACCCATACACAGCAGAACTGCAAGTAGAGGGAGACATAAAATTTCAGAAATTGGAAAAGTAAAACTAAATGGATTACATATTTAGTGTAAAATGGGGGATATTCTAACAGAAAAGGTGTTAATTAGGTCCTGAACTGATTTTTGCTTTGCTTTTAGAAATTTTGCACATTTGCTTCCCATTTATTTCAATAGGCATATTTTGTGTCTATTGTTGGACTATTTGGATTTTTAACAACGTTTTCCACGTGGGGTATGCCCAGCCTCAGGTTGTCTGAGATTTAGCGAAAAAGTGTAGTGCAACTTGCATAACCGGAAGGTTCATTTAAAGCATAATTTATTCAATACAAAAAAATAATACATACTCCGTATAAAATAACTTCATTGCTACAAGGTAAAATACAAAACGAAATATTACAAATATTTTACAAGAATAGAAGTTTTCATCAAAGTCAAATAAAAAACATCACAAATTTAACTCTACAACAATCCACCACATATGATAAATTAGTTAATAGTAAGAAGATCCTCACAAGTAGCTATCGTAATAAAAACAATGGGGTTAATACTTAAATACTATTTTTACATTTACTTAAATACTCCTAACCAATAAATTTTAAACATATACAGATGCGATTCATGATGTCTAATTGGTTAATCTGACCGAGTTACCAACCACATTGTTGGGATAATGAGCTATGGTATTCCAACGATTCATGTTCAGAAATTCTTTAGAAATGTTATCCAATTTCTTGGTGAGGTAAAAGAAATTTGAGAATATGCTTAGCAAACATAAATGATGCTAACAGCCCCTGTTAACAACAAGAATGCTTTGAATATTATTTATAAAAGTTGCCAACAGAGTTGTGTTTTTAAAAAATCGCATTGATATATTAATTCACCGTCTTTGCAATACATGTTGAAACTTGAAACCAGTGCATTGCTAAGGTATTGTAACAGTAATACAGTATTTCAGTAACTGTCTTTACGCATCAAAGAGAAACTTAAGCTTTTGTTCTAAGCTCTAACACAATCTAAGTTGTTAACACATTAACCTAAACCAGATTTTATCACTTCTTCTGATCGAAAGTTGGGTTAAAAATAATGAACAAGTGCTTTTTTACAACAAAACAGATATTGAAAAATGAGCTTAAATTCAAGATTATAAAATGAAGACTTAAGATTTAATTGGAAAAAAAATGATCAAGACCTGAAGTCGGAATGATCGGATAAAGAAGGGTGTGCAGAATTTTTTACATTTCTTTTGTTCTTAAATTTCACTAATTGAAATTTCAGAAAACTACAATTTATTAATTGAACAAAAGATGTCAATTAATAATTGAATCTGAAATTTCTCTGAAGCACGCTTTGGCATATAGTAAGAAAAGGAATGTGAACACGAAAACGGGAAAGGGCCTAATTCATCTTCTGGGTGGAGTGTAAGAGGGGAGGCAATTTTTATTATAGAAAAGTCAAATTTTTAGAACCATAATTTTTTCTATTCTAACCTGTTAGCTGGTTTTTGCTTTTCTTTTGGAAATTCAGTTTTATTAACTGCTCTATCAGAGCCAAAAAAAAAACCTCTTAAATTCCACATATCATAAAAAATCACTAATTGGATCTCAAACCTTTTCTACTTTGAACAGAATTGGGAATTTAATTAAATTTCATTTACCTAGCTGAGTAGTGAGCCAGAAAGACGGCAATTAGAGTTTTTCCACCTTGCAGCCGTGCAGCCAATGGACGCAGTCGACAGTCAGCCAGTCACAGTGGGAGGCGTACGGCAGGGCAATGCACTGTGCGCAGTAGGTGGTGGTGGGTCTCAAGCTCGCAGGGGTGCTGCGGAAGCTGGTGACTGGTGCAGACTCGCGGTTGAAGAAGACTGGTCGTTGCTTCGTAGTGGCGGACCCAGGAAAACAAAATCATGGGGTCACTACCCTTGTGTAACTCTACTTAATACAAAACCATGGGGTCCCTACCCTTGTGTATCCCTACCAAATGAAGCATCTTCAGCAATATTGTATTCCAACCATTTATGCTCATCAAACCAACTTGAAACAAATCTACGTTTTTTGCCACCAATTACCTTAAAAGGGAAATCATGATCCCGAAGTTGAAACGGCCCGTTTTTAAGGTAACTACTGCGAACCTCGTCTTGAAAGTAGGATGAAAATCAGCAATTTTTTTCTTGATCCAGTATCAGCTTCCAAAGATTCAAAATCAACATGTTGTTCAGGTAGATTATAAGCCAAATTAGCTTCACTTTCAGCAATTACTTGATCCAATTCTTCATTTACTAATGGAGAATCATTTGAATTAACATCTGAACTACTCCAGGTACTCCGAATTTCTTTAAATTTGGGTACAACACTGAAATATCTTTTCATCCTAAATCGTATAATATTGAAAATAACATTCATAAATTCATAATTTATTAATTTTGATCTTAACATTCAAAGAAAGTTTAATAATTAATCCCAAAAAAAGATATGCAAAGAGAAACAATAAAAACCTGGGCAAGTCCGCCAGTGGGCGTGAACGCGTGGAGTGGTGGGCGCAACTGGTGGTCGTCTGGACTTTGACGGCACGGCGGCGTGGAGTGGAGACTGGAGGCGGCCGTAACGTCGAAGTCGTGCAGCGGTGCAAGCGTGCAGAGTCGGAGGTCTGAAGGGTCGATCGATTTGCTGTGGTCTGCGGACTGCGTTTAGGGATTGAAGATTGATAGGGATTTTTTTAAAAAGCAAGGATTGATATGATTTTAAAAAAAGGGCCAAAAGGAGGTAGTTTTGATCTACTCAAGTAAAATAGTTTTGAGAAACAAAAAAAGGGACGGGAGATGGTATTTGATTTGTTTTCTACCAGATGAAGGGCTTGTGCGATGCACGGGATACATCTAGAGTACAATAATAAGGAGTAACTTGTTTAAAATTGTCTTTTATTATGTCGATAAATATGTAATGTGTAATTTTTTTAAATAAAAAAAGTTAATAGGGTTTATGAATTGTAAACTCTATGCATAATGGTAGTTTGTAAGAGAATGAAAATGTAGAATGAGCTCTAGTTGAGAGTGAAACAACATGACAGTATGATTCAACTGTCTCCTTCATTGATTCTCGGAAATAAGCTTTATAGGATAAAATAATTGTATATGTAGTTGCAAGTGCACAAAAAGTAACATAAGTTTTGAAAATTTCTTTATATATAAACTACATACTCCTAATAGATGTTTGACAATCAAAATAAAGATGAAATGTTAATAACACATTATATGTCATTAGAAAGATGTTGTTAAATTTAACCAACATAACTCACAGTATTGTTGCTAGAACATCAGCTTGGATGAAGTGGATATATGTGTGGAGTTCGTGAATAACTTAGTTTATATAGGGAATGAATGAACATGCAAATGCACAATGAAGATTATGCATTCATAGCATTATAAGAAGTGACATCAATCATTTGAATTATGCAATCACAAAATATCAGTGACATCAAATAACAACAAATTTATATCATACCTCTCAAGACAAACTTTCAAACACCAAGCTTCACCATGTTTAGACTATCGTCACACGTTAAGTGTTGAAATTTGAGACCATACCATGTCATTGTTCACATATCAAGGTCTTTTTTTACAAAGTACTCCCTTCAAATTGTGTAAAATAGAACATGTAATCATGTGATATATTTGATAATGAGAGATTTCCCAAAATAGGAGTAAATGAAGTTTGAAATTTCAAAATAGGACTACTTTGTTTTTATTCCTGAAATGGGACTAACATGGCAGTATTTACTGTCATCTTCTAGTCGTGACTGCCAAATAATTGTAGTACAGTGCATGTAACATGACAGTATTTATTATAATTAATGACAGTATTTTTCAATCGTGATAGTATTTTTCATACATGATAGTAATAACTCTTATTTCGGGAAGAAAAGCATACTAGTCCTATTTTTGAAATTCCAAGCGTCATTTGCTCCTATTTTGGGTAATTTCCCATTTGATAATATGTTTTTAATCTCGCTAAATGAGGTGTGGCGGTGAAAACCGTTTGATATCTCACGTAGTGGGATACATACTATTGAACATTTTATCAATATTGAAGGGTGAAAGTGACCTCTATGCAATAGTGGTACTAATACTATACGTTAGGCAAAATGCATGTAAACAGTGTGAACGATGCACATGTGGCGTGAGAAATGTATACAGTTAAAACAAATGACCATATATTTAAACAATTTAACAATATTATTTAATAGGCTAGTGAAACTAATGGTTAAATATTTAAAGTATTTATGATGGTGCTTATTGATAATGAATCTTCAATGGTCAAATGTTACTTTTGGAATGTAATGAATTCAACTTTGTGTATATTACTCTCCTTATTTAAAATTTCTACACCTTTAATGTATATATATGCCTCGACGAGCATTACTCTATATTAATGATTAGTGTCTATACTTGCAACCTTACATATATGGACACACTGGGAGGTATATTGAGAATTCGTTGGGCAGGATTTCATTTTTGGTAGCATATTAATTTTCAATTGTGTCCTTTAATTGAGAATGTGTTGGGCCTTTGGGTTGAAGGAATAAACCTCAACAGTTGGCAAAATTTTAAGAGACGAAGGGTGTAAAATTTAGTTTCAACTTTTTGAATATTTTCAACTATCATATTTTTATTTGAATGTTTTATAAACATTCTAATTACTTTTCATTTTGAAAAAATATTTCATAAAAAATGGTTCGCAATTTAGCATAGCACTCTAGCATTCTAGCAATTGTATCAGCTCATAGCCAAGCATTGTACGAACGACCTTTCGGCTTTGTAATCGAATCAGTGTATTGAAACTCTTATTTGGGTCTTTCCTTGCTTGTTCTTCATCTAACTTACTCATTGTTCCGTTCGAAACCCTTGGGACTCGTGTTGGGCCTACGAGTTGAAGGAATTAACCTCAACACTGGCGCCGTCTGTGGAAAACTGGTCAAAAAGTCTTTCCAACCAAGCTCTCAACTAAAAAATCATCCTTAAACAACTAATAGCAAGTAAGATGGCAGCTAACAACGCAGAGAACTCCTAGGACTTCTCTTCACGACTAGCTCACAATAGAAGGAGCCGCAATCAGGCGGCAGGGGCCCAGTCCAGCAGCATATGGTCTCACGGGGACTTCGGGGTACTCACTGACTTGATCCCCCAGGAAGTCCGGCGAGACCCGAATGCCTTAAGGGAGATAGCAGACACCATCTGCCGTTTAGCGAACGAACGGGAGGCGGAACGCGTGTACTCCGCTAACACAGAGCAAACATCGTTCTCCCCCCTCCGTTCGATGCAGACGCTCGGCGAGCGTACTGGTGAGAACGATGATTCTCGCCAATCGGTCCATACCAGGATCGTCAGGAACATTCACTCTCCGGACATGGGAGGCAACGGGGGAACCAGGCCCTTCGGAGGAGCGCGGGGGCACACGGTACGGGACCACACCCCGGTGATGCCCCGCAATGATCAGGCTGCAAGGGAGCACACCCCCCTGATGGAAGGCATGAGGCATGTGTCGTCCATGGGCAACACAACTTCGGGACCATGCGGAGGGATGATGCACTAACATTGGTGAACCCCACACCTATGATCACCGACCCACGGGACACTATGCTCTTGAACATGCAGAGGCAGATCGATGAGTTGAGCCGACGGGCGGATACAAACCCAGCTCAGCCCAGGATTGCCCTATCTTCTCCCTTCTCCGCCAGGATCATGGCGGTGGAGATCCTGAGGGACGTCAGGCCCCTGCAAGATTGATTTACAATGGGGCCTGCTAAGTCCATTTTTGTACTTATTTTTCTTATCCGATTTAAGCGATTTTGGATTGAAAAATTGAAAAACAAGGCATGTTTTATATATTTTGGTTCAAGTTTCTTGAAATCAGGTAAAAATCACGTCCATGATATGTTTGATGAAATTTCGGGTCAATTAAGCACAAAATGCGTCCATTTGAGTGACAAATGATATCATACCGAAAGAAGGAAGCAGAATTTCAAAGTGGTCTAGAAGACAAAATTGAAGGGAACAAAAAAGGGAAGAAGCCAGACTAATAATCTCACAGGCGGCCAGGAAGGCGGCCAAAATTGAAGGCCTTCGTGGCCGCCTACCGTTGTTTTTGGAAAATCAACATTTTTTAGAAATTTGACCGGACCGGAGAAAAACCGAAGGCGGCCGACACTGGACGGAAGGCGACCTGCGTCACAAGGCGACAACGCAACCACCGGCCGGTGGGATTTGATGGCAGGCGGCCGCCTGCGGCGGATGACAAGACCGGCGCACGACGCCCTGTCGGTGACGTGACGGAAGGCGGCCGCCTGGTTGGCCGCCTACGGTGATTTTCGTGCTATAAATAGTAGGCTATTTGCTGAACTCAAACACACCATTCTTAACCCTAATTCAGTTCAAAAAGCTTCCGTTCTTCCTCCATTTCCGCAGCTCCAAGGTCTTTTGGGAGAGAGAAAGTTCAAATCTTCATATCTTCTTCATTTTAACTTCAAATTGTAAGTTCTTTATATGTATTTTCATCCTCTCAACGAGTAGAATCTGAATCTGTGCTTTGTTTTGTCGATCTGTTCTTTGAATTTTTCCAGAATATTTATCAAGTATTTCGCATTTTCTTCCAAAAATTAAATAAAATAGTTGTTGATGTTGAATTCATTCCAATTAATTATATAGTTGTTTACTAGCCTCAAGGTTGTTATTTATCTGAAGAAAGTTAATTTTCCCGAAGCAGAAGTAATTTTTAATTAATTTTGGTAATTAGTTGTTATTTTTGCATAAATTAAATTAATTACTTAAAAATAGTAAAAAAATAGTTTCGGCCCTAATTCCAGTTTATTTCACTGTGATATCACCCCCAGTAGTCAATAGAAAATTTAGAACGACTTTATCCTATTTTTAATTGCCTTTTGTATTTTATAGTTAAAAGTGGGAAAATTATCAATTAGGGTTAAAATTGGATTTTAGGTTTAAAAATTCGTGAAAAATTCCAGAAAGTCATATTGTAGTTACAGAAAGTTTATTTTGACAAGATAATATTTTTGTTTAATTTTTGCTATTATACATGTTTAATTCCTTGTTAATGGTTAATTTATTTACCATATTGTTGAATGCAAAAATAATGCTTAGTAGCTAAAATTGTTTTGGGCATGAATTGAGTAAAAGAACATGGATTGACTTGTTATCCGAAAATTAGGGGTTAAAATTAATTAATTGGACTAGTTATTCAAATTGATGAATTAGTAATTAATAATTGTTAGTCATTTTCATTAATAAACTTTTGGAAAATTATTTCTAACTTATCTATGAGATTAGAAAATAAATTGAGCCAACTTTATTCAAGCACATTAATAAGGCCTACAAATAGGAAATTTTAATGATATGGATTTACATCTTGTCTATGAGAAATAAATTCAAATTGCTTAAATAATGAATTTAATTAGTTAATGAATTTGGCTATTTTTATTAATTAAAATATTGGAGAATTATTTTTGTCTTGTCTATGAGATTAGAATTTAATTCAAGCCAATCATTTTTGAATACATTAATGAAACCTAGAAATAGGATAAATTAATGAAAGTAATTTCTATTCTTGTCTATGAGAAAAGAAATTATTAGTCCAATTTTAGTTTTAATTTCCCTAATTACTAGGTTCAAGAATATATCCATTTCCAATTACTCAATTCATTGCCCTTAATTGCCTCAATCTTTTTATTAATCTTTAGAATATTTGATCTTAAATCTTTAGTTGAAATTTGCTCCTA